GACTGCCCCCCGGCGTGGCGGCAGAGCCAGCCACTCAAGGTCTTCGTCGTGACCGGCCTCCCGGAGACGTGCCGCTCCCTGTCCCTCGTGCACGCGCTCCGGTCACACAGCGGCCTACGAGTACCCTTGACTGCAGCGTAGTTAGAGGCAGGCTCGGAGTTGCAGGGAGGGTCCCGGCTCCCGCGGGCTCTGTCCGGGGTCACCCTCCCTCAGCCATGGCCGAGCCTCCTGAGGACGCTAGGCCAGTGGTGGCTGAGCCACTGAAGCGCTGGCCCAGGAAGCACGTTCTTCAGGCCTTTGTCCCACGGCCTGTCCCCACTGCCGGCCTCCTGTCCTGGCGCTCCTCTTCTGCGTCTTTGCCTTCTCGTCTGCCTCCCAGGCCTCGCCAGCTCCTGGCTTTGCGTGTCCTCTGTACCTGTCTGATTGATCCTTTCCGTCAAGTGAAGGGAGGAGTCGGTGCAGCACCTCGTGCGCTTTCTGGTTTAGCTGGGCTAATAACTCCCTCCCTCTGCGAGACCTGAAGCGACCGGCCGCTGCTTCCTCCTGATCTGCTTCTCCTTGGATGTCGCCTCGGGCTCCTTTCAAGGGTGGACTCGCTGCCAAACGCAGTGCCATCCACAGACTGGAGCACGGTGGGCAAGCAGCCGCCCCCAAGCGTTGGTTCTTTGCGTTACGTCTTTGTGATTCAAGCTCTAGAGACCAGGGTTGTGCTGGACACTCAGCCCGTTCGTTTGCAGCTCTTAACGTTTACCCTCGCTTTCTGTCTCCCAAAGAGCCAGCGACACAGCAAGCCTCTGTGGACGCAGATGGGCCTGTCACTATTGCTGCTGCTTTGTCCGAAGTCCCAAAGGCCGGGGAGGCTGGGAGCCAGCCCCGGCCCCAGGAGCTACTGCGAGCCCCAGAAGCAGCTCCTACCAGCGGTGAGAGGGTCAGGCTGAGCGAGGCCCCCGGGGGCAAGAAGAGTCTGAGCATGCTCCATCATATCCGGGGAGCAGCGCCCAAGGACGTTCCCGTGCCGCTGTCCCACAGCATCAACGGGAAGAACAAGCCATGGGAGCCCTTCATGGCGGAGGAGTTTGCACATCAGTTCCACGAATCCGTGCTGCAGTCCACGCAGCAGGCTCTGCAGAAGCACAAAGGTAACGGTCCCCATGTCCCGTGCTCTCCCCGTGCTGCCACGGCAGCTCCCACCATCCCTGCGCGCTAGCAGGTGCCACGTGTGGCCTCGGGCTCAGTCACTCAGCCACGGGTGCCACGACCGCCCCCTCCGGCATCACTGCCCAGCAGGGCCAGGGCGTCAGGGCAGGTCCCAAGGACCTCCAGTTCCCTCAGGCTCCTGGTGAGGGAACCTGGCACGTCTGTGGCCCTCCCTCCAGGACGTTTAGCAAAGGTGCTGTCTGAGGTCAGTGAGGCCAAGCCGGTACCGCTGGCAGGCTACAGGACCCCTGCAAGCTAGAGTGCTTTCTGAGCTTCCTCTGGGACTCACCTGGCGTCTCCCTGACCCGTGGGTGATGTCCATTGCCCTGGGCCCTCGGGCCTGCACCTGAGTTTCCAGGTTCCCCTGTCTACCTTTTGCTGGGAGCCACTGTTTTATTCCTGATGTGCCAAAAGTTGGAGCTGGTCACGAATCTTGAACAATGAAGTGGCCGTTGAGTGTGAAGTGAGTTCCTGTAAGCTCGGACAGCCTGGAGAGAGCATCTCGTTACCCGGCCAGGCTGTGTGTTTGCTGCTCGCGCGGTAAACGCCGAGTGGGAACCCGCACTCGCTGACGCCCAGCCCTGCCACTGCGCAGCGTCTGCGACGGAGAGGAAACGGGTGGGCGCTGGCGTTGGCAGTGGTTGAGGAGGGCACTCCCCGAGTTGGTAGGAGTGCCTCATTGGCTTTTCGTCACAGCTTTGTGTGAACCCTCCTCATGTGGACACGTTCTGAGCAGATGTGCAGGGCGCCAGCCCTCCCCTCCGCGGGGTGCCTGGCAGCAGCGTGGCAGACTGGGATGCGCTCAGGGGCTGCCCCGTGCCCAGCTCTCAGGTCACCCAGGTCACGGCCAGCTGCCCCTGGTGGAGAGCAGACCCCAGCTGTGCCAGGGAGCTGTGCTGTCTGTGTTTCGCCAGCAGGGGGCTTTCGCTGTGTAGACCCAGTGTGATCCACAGACATCCCAGCACAGAGGTGAACTGTGTGTACATGAGTGACAGGAACTCGGGGGGCATCTGTGACCCAGAGGGCTTGGGGTACACCCCTCCTCCTCGATCTGCTAGCCCCAGAGCCCTCCTGAGGCAGCGCCCGGGCCTGTCCCCCACACTGACATGAGCCTGTCGTCCCCCAGGGAGCGTGGCCGTGCTGTCTGCGGAGCAGAACCACAAGGTCGACACAGCCGTCCACTACAACATCCCTGAGCTGCAGGCCTCCAGCCGGGTCCCTCTGCCCCCGCACAACGGGCAGCAGGAGCCTCCGGCCTTGAGGAAGGGCCCGCCCACGCAGGAGACGGACCGGGACTCGGGAGAGGACTATGAGGACGACGAGGAGGAGGACGACGAAGCCCCCAGGCACAAGTGGCAAGGGATTGAAGCAGTCTTTGAAGCTTACCAGGAACACATAGAAGGTACCCAGCGTGGAGGGAGAGGTGTCCAGCACTGGGGGCTGGGTGGTGGGTTTGCAGAGGCCCGGACAGCAGTTTGAGCAGGACTTGTGCTACCCTTGGGGACTTCCTGAGCCATGACCCCGACCTGGGTTTCCTGGGGCACAACCAGGTAGGGAGACTAGAATGCGTGTGTCCTCTGGCTTCTGCAGGGCCCAGGCTTCTCGTGGTGACTCCTCTGGTTCAGACCTGCAGCCGTGTTCACTGGGGAGGTTGGGTGCTGTGACTGTGCACACCTGTTGCTGTCGGCCTGGCTCCCAGATGAGGCCCTGCTTCCTGGGCCACATCTGAGACCCTGCTGGCCTGATCTTGCCCGGCTCCCAAAGAGCATGCTAGAAAGTGAGCCCGTGTGCTGACTAGCCAACACCTAGCCCATGTCCGGCCTGGTGGCACCTGGCTCTGCCTCACACCCGGTGGCTGGTGACAGGCCCCACTGTGGGGACTGCTCTGTCCAGTGTGCCTGTCACGTCCTCGGCCTGCTTCACGCTGCAGTTTGGTGAGCATTTGGCCAGAGGTAGCCCTTGGCATTGGCTCGGTAACCAAGGGCTTGCCTTGCCTGGCAGAGCCCAGAACATCTTGTTCTTGACGGGTGACACGTTCCGGCTCTCCCTCCAGGGGAAGCCACCACCAGTACCTCGGGATGCATCTCCCATGAGACAGCAGGGCACAAGGCTGGGCACCCGTCTCGTGCCACCCCTCCTGCCTGTGCACCTGTGTCCCCAGCTGTCCCTCTGCATTTCCGTCCTCACTGAGCTATGCCCCGGGTGGCCAAGAGCTCCCAGGCCGATACCGCCACCTCTGCAGTTCGTTCTAGGAGTTTCCATCTCTGTCAGGTACAAGGGGGCTCCAGAAAGCTCACAGAAGTGGAATTGAGGTGCAGGTTTATTTTGGTGCACACATTTTTGAAGTCCATGCAGACCTTCCATGTTCTTTTCTGTGAATGGTTGAAGACCCCTCCTAACTGAATGTATGGTAGAATACAGAGACAGGGCCCCCTGGTGGCAAAGGCGCTGGTGCTCACATGGCCGTGTGCGTATGTGTGTGCCCCAAATCCTGAGAAGTGGAGAAGGGAGGGTGGCGTGGCCATCTCTCCTGGGGGTGCTTTCTCTTTCTGTCTGGCACGTACACGCACCTCAAAAGATGTGACTACAAAGGTTCTTCTAAATACTTAGAAGTGAGCCTCGGGCAGCCACAGGCGGGATCTCGATCCCCTCCCCCAGGTGGAAGCCTTCCTTGAGCGTAGTGTGGGTGACACGGCCTTGGTTTGACGGGTGGGGTGTGTCGGGCTTCTGAACGCGACCGCCTGAGCTTTCCTCCCTGCCCGAGGGTGCAAGGGTATCGTGTCTCACCCCGTGCAGTGAGGCAGAGCTAGTCTCGCTGCGTCTCTCCCTCTCCAGAATCGACTGCTCTGGAGTCCCCGAGTGTGCCCTCCCCCACCCGGAGCCGGCTCCTCAGTGCCATGTGCCCGGCCGTGAGCACCACCCCGCCTCCGGCCTGTCGCGGGGCCCCTCCCCATCCAGAGGGTGACCTGGGACCGGCTCGCTGGACTCTTAAGCTGCTGCCCAACTGGCTCTTGGCCTTGGGTTCCCCCCACGAATTTAGGGTCACTTGGTTACATTCCACCCCAAAAACCTCAGGATTTCCAGTTGCCCCGAATACGCTAACTTGGGGGTACATCGGTGCCACTTACGTTTCCTTCTCAGGGTTTCGGGTCCATTAGTGACTGCGAACGATTGTTCATCCCTTGGGTGAGAATCCCAACTGATGCGTCCCACAGCTCCTGTTTTGCTTACGCTGCGTTTCCAAGGACTTTTAAAATAGAGGCATGGGTGTGGGTTCGTCTTGTTTGTGAAACCTTAGGAACATTCCATTAAATGAAAGCGCCCATCGGCCAAGTTCACTGTGTAACTGTTTGAAGTCAGTGTGTCGTTTTGTTTGTTTGTTTTGGTGTTTTTTTGAGAGGTTTTTCGCTCTAGGGCGCGTGCGCTCACCAGACAGACAGAGAGACATAGAGACAGAAAGCGAGAAATCACCCCCCAGGGGGGGTGGCCACGCCACAATCCCTTCTCCTCCATTCTCCTCTCGGGATCTTGGGCACGCACGCACACGCGCCCGGCGTGAATCTTAAGCCACCGGGTCCGGGATGCGAACCACGGTCGACTACGTGGGAGTCCAGCGCCAGCCATTATGCTAACTGCTGGTTCCCTCAATGTGTCGTTTTTCACCTTCCCTGGTGTTTCGTCTTTGTTGGGCCTGATTAGTTTTGAGGTGCTTGTGAAGTAGTAGACTAATGTTACCGTCCTAGCACTGTTAGGGTCTCTGAAACAGTGCATAATACGTATCTATCCTTGAAGGTCTGAAGTCACTATCTTCAGACTCGGCAAGGCTGAGATTTTTACTATTAAAGGTTATTCTGGACCTTTCCCAGCAGCTTAAATTTAATTAAAATCTTTTAGAGAGACAGAATCTTGCTTGGTTGCCCAGGCTAGCCTCGAACTCGCAATCCTCTCTCAACTTCCCAAGTAGCTGGGATTACAGGCACAGACCACTGCCCCCAGCTTTATCTTCCTTTCTGTAAGGTACATTTTAAGGGCATGGATTTACTCCTACTTTCTAATTTGTACATCTTAAACTGCCCTTCAACTCTCCACTCTTTGGCTTTACTCCAGAGTTAAATTTAACTTGGTTTGCATAGGAATACAGAGAAACAAGTGTCATAATGACCTTAACTCAGATGGCCTGTAACTCAGAGGGCGGCTCTCTGGGCCAGAAGACTGGAGGAGGGAGCACCTGCCCGGCTCGGAGCCCGGCACACAGAACATGCGTTCCCATCCGTCTTTCAGAGCAAAACCTGGAGCGGCAGGCAGGTGCTGCAGACCCAGTGCGGGCGGCTGGAGGCAGAGCGCTACAGCCTCAGCCTGACGGCCGAGCAGCTCTCCCACAGCGTGGCGGTGAGTGGGGGCGTGGCGCGGCGCACGGTTGCGGGCGGAGTGGCGAATCGACATGCTTTCCCTTTTATAAGAAGTCTTGAGTTGCAGCCAGCGGCGGCGTGGTTGTGAAGATGCTGGACTCCCACAAGGCTGACTGGTCCAGGTCCTGGGCTTGGTGGCCTCAAAATCATGCTGTGCATGTATGGACAAAACCCTAGGAGAGAGTAGAGAAGGGGCTGGGATTTCTCACCCCCTTCACCCTGTCTCTCTCTGGCAAGGCCATGCGCCCGCTGACAAAAACAGGTACCAGCAGATGGTGTAACGGTTACGTCTCTGGACTCCCATGTCGTCAACCACGGTTCAAGTCCCACATCTGGTGGCTTAAAACTCATGCCAGGCAAAGGGCCAGTTGATGGCATGGTGGTTAAGGGTGCCGGACTCCCACATGGCCGACCAAGGTTTGAATCCCGGACCCGATGGCTTGCTTTCTCACTTTCTCTCTCTCTCACTGTCTCTCTCTGGTCAAATTAAAACAAAGCTAAGTAATTCTTTTTTTAAAGCATGCCAGGTAGGGCCAACAGGTGACTTGGTGGTTAAGGTGCTGGACTTCCACGTGGCTGACCACAGTTCAAGTCCTGACCTGGAGGCTTGCTTTCCTAATTTCCCTTTCCCTCTGTCTCTTGCTCTAATCAAATAATGATTATAATAAATGAATATAACTTTTAAAAAATTGTTCAATTTTATTTGTTGTTTGATGAGAGAGAGGAGGAGAGAGAGTGAGAGAAAGCAAGCTGCCAGGTCCAAGACTCGAACCGTGGTTGGGCATGTGGGAGTCCATCGCATTAACCACCAAGCCACCTGCTGACCCATAAAATAATTCTTTAAAAACAAACTCATGCCAGATGTGTGTTCGTGTCCCTCAAAAACCCTGAGAATGGAGAAGGGATTGTGGCGTGCCGTCCCGTCCCCGGGGGTGATGTCTCACTGTCTTGTCTGTGTCTCACCCTGTCTCTCTGGCGAGTGCTCCCACCATAGCAAAGATCTTACACAAGTTTTAGAGAGAAGAAATCTCTTCAGAGATCAAAACTTGTAGTTTTAGGGACCAGCAGTTAGCGTAATGGCTATGTCGCCAGACTCCCATGTAGTCGACTGCGGTTCGCGTCCTGGACCCGATGGCTTTAAACTCACGCCGGGCGCGTGTGCATGCGTGCATGCCCAAGATCCCGAGAGGAGAATGGTGCCAGGTCCATCCCTCCTGAGGGATGCTTTCTCGCTTTCTGTCTCTCTGTCTCTGTCTTTCTGACAAGCCCACGCACCCTATAGCAAAAACTTCTCAAAAAAAAAAAAACTGATAGTCTTAGAGGGAAAATTCTGACATCAATTGAGCTTATCTGAATTTTGGCCAAAGAGGAAAGGGCCTTTAACTTGTACAATACCGATCCGGGAAGGATCAGGGTGCTAGGTACACACCCGTTCGGGGAATTACTCATTGCTGTATCAGCCTCCCCTACTTTGATTTGCTAAGGAGGGTGGAGGAAGAACTCTCCCACACCCCAGACCAGCCAGTCATCCCGCTCTCCTGGCCTGGTCCATCAGGTTCGGGTCTCGGAGCACTCTTTTGGAGAGGTTTTTGCTATAGGGCATGTGCGCTCACCAGACAGAGAGACAGAAAGCGAGAAATCATCCCCCAGGGGGGATGGCCACGCCGCAATCCCTTCTCCTCCATTCTCCTCTCGGGATCTTGGGCATGCACGCACACGCGCCCGGCGTGAGTTTAAGCTACCAGGTTCGGGACGCAAACCGTGGTAGACTATGCGGGAGTCCAGCGACATAGCCATTACGCTAACTGCTGGTCCCCCTGGCGTGAGTTTAAGCCACTGGGTCTGGGACTTGAACTGGGCCGACTGCATGGAGTCCAGCGACACAGCCATTACGCTAACAGCTGGTCCCGGAGCGCTCCTGCTTTAAACCTGCGGCTCCAGGAGCCTGGTCTGCGTCGGAGGGCAGCGGCCGTCCATCTTCGAGACTGCATGTCGTAGGACTCCAGGGCCCAGAGGCCACTGTCGAACACCGCGCCAGGAGGGGGACCTTTGCAAAGGGCAGCCTGGCCTCTGAGCAGCACCAGCAAATGCGGTGCCCGTGTCCGCACAGGGAAGTGAGTACGGGTCTCTCTCTTCCCCAGGAGCTGAGAAGCCAGAAGCAGAAGATTGTGTCCGAAAGGGAACGGCTCCAGGCGGAACTGGACCACTTACGGAAGTGCCTTGCCCTGCCCGCGATGCATTGGCCCAGGGGCTACTTCCAGGGCTACCCTAGGTGACGCCTTCCCTTGCACTAGGCCGAACCCATAGCATAGAAATATTATCTATTTTATTACCTTGAATATTTAATATTTTTCACTGGGAGGTTTGAAGCTTAAGAAAATGAGAATGTGCCATGCATGAAGCAGAGGATTCCAGGCTCCAGAAAAACCCAAACCCACGCACTCACCTGGACTTCAGTGCAGGGAACCGCCTTTGTCACACAGCGAGCAGCCACCGCAGGACGCCAGTCATTGTCCTTGTTAAAGGCAGCTTTATTTCTTCTTCCCCACATCATTTTTAATCAAAAAATGAAGGCTCCATTACCAACACTAACACCTTGCCGCTCGCAGCCCGCATGTGGGCCCGGCCCGTGTCTTTTGCGTGGCCACGTCACTTGTGCCTCTAGAACGATGTTTGCTCTTGCTGCGGTGGCGGGTGGGTCTTGCTCCCTCCCAGGAACGAGGCCGACTTGGGCTAAAGAGAGGGCTGGGCACGCCGGAAGAAAAGGGCTCGTTTGTTTCAGTTACGTTTTTGCAGAATTTTCTTTAAAGCAACAAGTCCTAGGAGCACACAAAGCAACCTGAAGGCTTTTCCCTAGAAAGGATCTTACCGAAGATCAACCGCAGACTGAAGGTACTGGCTGTCACTCCGTGGGGAGACGCCCAGAGCTCCGCGTGTGCGTACACCCACGCCCACGCGGCTCCTGCAGTGGGGGTTCATACAGAGGGGAGTCAAAGGTGCTTCAGCCTTGTACTGTGTATATATTAAAGACAAAGTTTTGTATGTTTTTATTACTTTAATTATTGTTATAAAAAGCCTGCCATTTTTAATATGTGGTTTGGGGGATTTTCGTTTGTTTGTTTTTCCTGTTTGGGGTTTTGGTTTTTTTTGTTTATGTTAAAAAAAAAAAAAAAAAAAAACCAACCTTGCTTTTAGTGTTTGTACTGCTGCTGGTCAGGACATTAAAATATTGAAGTGTTTTTAAAAATTAAAGAAGAAGAAAAGTAAAAGAGCTTACCACTGGCGCCTCCGCGATCGCTTCATTTTTGAGTTGCCCCAGAAACTTGTAGAAAGCCATGCGTCCCGCGTCCCTCGTCCCTCCCTACACAGCCTGTCCAGTCGCTGTTGAGAAGGGGCGGCCTGCTGAGGACAGGATAGGTCCCAGGTGAGACACCCCTGCGCGCACAAGGCGGGGCTTCTAAAAGGACCTTTCAGGAAGCAGACGGTTTCTGGGATAGAATTCTAAGGTGCAGAGCAGGAACCTTAGAGGCGTGATTTAGACGCAAAGCTTGGTACAGGCCCCAAGTAGAGACCATGTCCGAGCTGAACCCCTCCTTTTGCAAGCACAGGAATGGCCGGGAGCTGGACTAACCACACCATGGAAAGGGGACACGTTCCTCCTTGCCCCAGTGACTATTCAGCGTCTAACCCACATTATGAAGGCATCTTGCCTGACGGGGATGGGAGGAGGAGGCGGCGTGTGCTCCGCGCCTGGGGCAGAGCACCTGCCTGTACCGGCTACCCCATGCCAGTCGGCGGCCGAGCCCTCAGCCCCAGACTGCCCTGTGTGGAACAGCTTGCTGGCAGCTGGCACTGTGTCGCTTTAGCTGCCCCCACACAGTTTGCTTTGTATGTCTGCCAAGAATCTTCCAGTTATTAGCAAACTCGGGCAAAAAGTGCCGCCGGTATTAGCAGCAGTCCCCAAGCGCCTCCTCTCCACAGAAGCAGCTAGAGGAGGACTAAAGTCTGCACAGGCCTCCCCCACGGACGCTGACAGCACTCTGTCCCACGGCGTTTGGCCGGGCTGCACTGCCAGCAGTCAGGCCAGAGCATCGCTGAATTCCTCTGCTTCAAACTGCTTGCTGCTTCCCGGCCGAAGGCCTCGGGGTCACGGGTTTAAGGCTTTGCTCCCGGGCCGCTCCGACATCACAGATGTCTCTGCTTTTGCTCCTTGGCCCTGGTAAGGCCAAAGGCTAACGAAGCTGTAATAACAGGGGGCCCATCTAGCCAGAGGGCCCTCCCTGGTTGGACCTTTCTGTCCCAAGAGTCCACACCACATTGGAACAAGTAGACATCGCAGAAAGGCCTGCCCCGGGGAGCCGTGTCACTGGGCTAGCCGTGCCTGCTCTCCCTACCAGAAAGGCCACCTTCATGCCCTGCTCCTGGGTTCCATCACTCCGCCTCACCGTTCTCCCCCTCTTCACCTGTGAGATCTCTGAGTCTCGTACTCAAGGAGTCATACGACAATACGAGAACAGGTGCGCACACCAGTCAGGCAGCCCGTGTGAACGGAAGGTGCAGGGTCTCACACCGTGACACGGCGCCCAGCAGTGGTGTAAACACTGTCATAATTTGAAGATGCTTATTTTCAATTGATTCTGGGGGGAATAAAACAGCATCGAAGTCCACCCTCAGTTGTCTAACAGCCGACAAACGTAATCCCTGAAGCTCTGTTCAGCCTTTCCCTTGAGGTCACCAGTTGAAAAGGACCTAAACTGGAGAACTGACCCGACCTGTGGCAGCGCTTACAAGGAGACCTCAGTCGGGCTGAGTCTTCCTGTCACCTGCCACCTGGGGCTGCCAGAAGCTGTGAGGCGCCGTCCCGTGCCACACCACGCATCCCATGTCTATCTGCTTTCCAAAACAAGTTTTTTTGTCCTTCAGGTTCCTGCCATGGGGTAGGTGCGCGTGCTGGAGAGACAGGGAAAGTAAGAAATCGCCCTCCCCCCAGGTAGGGACATGCATGCACATGTGCCCAGCGTGATCTTCAAGCCCCCAGGTCCAAGACTCGAACCACAGTCAGCCATGTGGAAGTCCAGCGCCTTACCACCACTCCACCTGCTGGCCCGCAGAACAAGCCAGCCGGACGTGATAAACGGTCATGCTCCTAATCCCTTACCTCAGATACGTGATCAAGACAGAATTCGCAAACTTTCTAATCCTGAAGGAATGAAGCCCGTTTGGCGTTGACACTGTAATGAGTGGAAACCCTTCACTTCAGAGCGTTAGAAAGAGCCCACCCCTGGCAGCAGTTAGAGCACGGGATGTTCCTTCCAGTAGCTCACAGTACGACACTGCCTCGTCTCGAAGCTGGAGCTGAATTTCAGGTCAGATGAGCCCTTTCCCTCTGAGCCGAGTATTTAGTTATGGTGACAATAGCAAAGACCCACAAGACGGAGGGGGTTGGCAGAGACCGTTCGTTGCGCTCTGGAGTCTTAGCCATTTAGCAGCGCTCCATGCCCCGTCCGGTAACCAGGCTGTAGACTCCACTACTCACAGCAGCCTGTCCCCAACTTCATCCAGTGCTTAAGCCCCTCCACTCTGCCTTGAGCTGAGGTAGACCCAGCTAACTGGTTGTGTTACTCTGTATGTACCCTGTGCTTAACTGCTAGAACGGAAGCCCGAAGCCCGCGCGTGGGTGGGAGGAAGGAACGAGGTGCCTCGGTCACTTGGGGGCAGTTTAGACGCTGTGAAATTAAACCTGTTCTAAGTGTACTTGTTTGAATTAACTGTATTGTAACATTATTTGTTGAATGTAGTCATTAGGTATTTATGAATATATTGCTGTAATTTCTGACAACATCCAAAAAAATAAAATCTTCCTAAATCATGTTAAGAGGAACATCGTTTATGTTATAAAATAAGGCACCGCCTCCCCTCCAAAAGCCCCACGGTACAGCGTCGCAGTGAGACGACAGACGCAGTCAGACGTGGCCCACCCAGCTCACGTTTTACGAGTAAGGTGCTAGGGACGAGGCCTGAGACGAGAGGGACTCCGAGCACTCTGCGGTAGCCAGTGGTTTCGGTCTAGGAGAACCAGGTGAAGGCGGAAGGATTCCAAAAAAGGGCGAGGTCAGAGGCATACCCTGCCCCTAAACCCAGCACCCGGAACCGTAAGTTGTGGAGGCCCTGTCCGTCCTAACGCCCAGCACTGGCCCTCGGTGACCAAGTGGTCACCGACACCTGCTGGCTGGAGACATCTGGGCAGCAGTTGGGACCACAGCAGCAGCATTCAAATGCGCGAAGGCAGGTGCCCGAAGCCCTGGGGGCTCAGTGGCGGCATGCGCGCACACGTGACTCCCGGGAAGGCACGCCACTTCCCTGGGCTCGCCAGGCTCCCGGCAAAGGCAAGCGGAGGCCTAAGCCGCTCACTGATCCTGGACACGGGCTTCCCTGCTCGAGGTCTGTGATCTCTGTAAGGGACCTCGAAGACCTACCAATTCCAGAACGCTACAGTGGAGTAATGGAAGGCATTTCCTCAGAAGAAAAATGATTTTCCCGAGCCACCGCCACCTACACCAGGAGCCCTGCCCTAAAGCCGCCCAGAGCAGTGGGACAGGCCCGGCTTTCCTCCCAGCGCTGCGTCTTAAGCTCGAGACTCTGGGTGACTTTCTCTGACCTTCCCCTTCCTAAGCAACCTGTCAAACCCTGGCTAAAGCAGCCGAGAGAATGGGGAAGAGAATGGGGCGCGAGTTCTGGCCTGCGGCTCACCGACCATCTCAGCACGCCACACCCCTTAGTCCTGCCGGGCAGAAACCGAGAGTCGGGTCTGGGTTGACTCTGTTTATTGTGGATCAGCCTTAGAGGAGAAACCTCGGGCAGTCACCCTTTGCTGAGTGAGCAGCCTCTGGAAGAGTAAATTTAGCCCGAATCCGCATCAAGAAGGGGAAAGAAGCCCTCAGCCACGGTGCCTCAGCCACGGTGCCACACCAGTCTCTAACTTAACGGCCACTGAACACGCTCCCATCCGTGGTGAGGATTTCCTACAGTAGCCCTAAGGCCCTACTAGGGAGAGTAACTCAAAGCTTTTTTTCCTTTCCTCCATAAGAGAAACGCTAGCTCCCAGAAGTGGATGTGGGATCGAATGTTCCAGAGAGCCGAGCTTTGAGAACTCATCGGACTGGCTTCTGCGACGATGTTTCGATCCCATTCCTCCCACAACGCGTTTCCCGGCGTCTACGACCGTCTCTAGGAACTTCGTGTCCAAGCACCTGCACGCGCCTGGCAGGCCTCCAGGCGCCCAGCCTGGCCAGGTCTCAGAAGTCCTGGGAGTGGGCACCGTCAGGAGCTTGGGGGCTGGTGCGGAGCTTGTACATGTGACTGAGCGCTCGTGTGAGGAAGGCCCCGCCAGCGTTGATCTCCATCAGGGTCAGGTTATCCAGCTAGGACAGAGAGCGAGGTGGCCGATGAGGGGACAATGAATGAGAAAACAAAGCACAGCGAGTAACCCCTGCTTGAAGCAGGCGAAGCAAGCAGGGTGCCAGGTGGGACTTCCTGTGTCACCGAAGCCCTCAGGCGGAACCCTGGCACCCAGGCAAGCGTGAGCCGTGCCCCTACCTTGGCGTGGGCCTCCTGCTGTCTCACGAAGCTGTCGGCAGACACCCGGAGCTTGGCGAGCCGTGTGTCCCACATGTCCTTGATCAGGGTCCGGATCGCATCTGCTTTTGGGATGTTGTCTGCAGCACTCGAGGCAAGGGGACACCAGGTAAGCTAAAGCGACACTGGGCAGAAGTGGCTTCTAAACCATGCTGCATGGACTCAGCAAAATACCCGAGCTACCTAGACGTGGGAGATCCACGTTCTCGATTTTGAGAGGTTAGGGATCCGCAGCGGGGTCAGCCTGGTGCCCAGGACGTCGAACAGCAGTCCACGTCAAGTGGGTTCTGCCCAAGTGGACTGTCCCACGGCGGGCTGCTGCATAGGACCGTGCTGAGAAAATCAGCCCCAGGAGAATGGACGGGCCCAAGTCGGACGCCCTGCCAGGAGGCCGGCGTCTGTGCCAGGCACTCCTCAGCTAGGGGAGTCCGTCGCCGAGGCCAGCTCAGACGCCCTGGCTCTCTTCCCACCAGAGGGCGAATGCACTTGCCAAGGAAAAGACAGGGAGAGGGCGAAAGCACCTCCATGGGCCATGGCCACAATGCCACCCCTACTCCAGTCCTTCATCCCGCTGGGATTGGAGGCCCACACATACCTGGGCGCATTTGTAAGCCTGTGGCCCAGGACTCGAATCACTTACATCCCGCTGGGATTGGAGGCCCACACATACCAGGGCGCATTTTTAAGCCTGTGGGCCCAGGACTCGAATCACTTGGTTGGCTTCTCTTGTTCCTTGTCTTTTTTTTTTT